TGTCATTTCCCTCAAAAGCGAATCAGCAGCTAAGGATGGGAGAGTCGCAGAAGAGGCCCAGCCTCCACAGGGAGGCCGGGTGGTGGAAAGCTCTGGTCTGGAGTCACTCGAGCTTGATGGGGTCCCTTCCTTGCGTTGTGGCTCTGGGCCCTCAGCTCCCGTCTCTGCTTACTTCGTAGTTCCTTTGAAGTCTCAGTAAAGGACCCTGTGGAAAGCATTCAGAGCAGCGCTGGCACCTACCGTGCTTGCCTCAGCAGTTCCCATTCCCTCAGCCTGCCCTGCCTTTGTGGGGAGAGATCACGTGACCGTTGGCTCATCGTAGCATGTGATGTCCTGGGAAGGGAGAGGGACCGAGAAGACAAGGTTCCAAGCCTCAGGAAAATCAGTCCATACCACTCAGGCCTGGGCCGGGACAGTATGAGTGTCCTGTGCTTGAAGAGGCCTGGGGGAAGCGTGGCGAGTCATGGGGAGGGCTGGAAATTTTAGACCATCCTATTGTATGCTCTCTAGTTTCTCGCGTGTATGACGAGCCCCACAGGCCGCGGCAGCCTATTCTGTTTTTGCTGGTGCTGGGGAGGACAAAGTGCTGTTTGGATGGTCCTCCATGCCCAGCAATAACCAGGGCTCACGGAACAATGCTGATAGCCGCCTGGGGAAACCCCGTGCAGGAATGGGGCTTTGGTCTCAGACCTAACTCACTCTTAACTACTTGAATTCTGTGGGTACTGACCTACAAGCGGTCTTTGACATCCCCTCCCCCCAGTGGTGATCTCTGGCTGGGCTGCTGCTTATGGAGAGGCTTGAGCGAGAGGAGCCATGGAGTTTATGAACTCTTACATTGACTTGTGGATGCGGTGTCGGAGGTGTGATAAGGCAAGGGGTTTGAAGAAACCAGACAGAGCCTGCACTTAGCATGCATGAGACCTTGAGTTCCATTCCCAGCACCCAAACCAACCAAACAAACCAAAAAGCCGTAAGATTAAAGATGTTACAGGTCACGTTAACTGTAGGGCAGTCATATCTATCGCCCAAAGTCTTGTTCCTATGAAGTGGCAGGACTGAGGTGGAATCTAAGCCTGCCAGGTTCTTTTCCCGCCGCAGGGCTGACTGGCGGAGCCCACTTCTCATCCCTGTAACCCTCCTTGGTCCTCCTTCATCCTCTTTGTATCTTGCATGCTAACAGCCTCTGAGCCTACACCCTGTCTTCACTGCCTGCCTCCTTTGCCTTTTCATTCCGCAGAGGGGCAATTCCCTAGAACAAGACTGGTGCAGAGTGCAGGGGTGTCCTGCCTTTGGGGATGAAGGACCAGTGCGGAGCAGGCACGGGGCGGGCTAGGCAGTTGACTTAAAGCGAGTTTGAGGAACTGGATTAAGGGGTGCTGGGACAGCTAGCTCTGCACTGGAGCCCAGCAGCGAGGCAGAGTGAAGGGGGGTCCTGTTTCTAACAGGAGTGTGGAAGAGCCAAGAGCAGAGCCCACACCAGTAGGTCTTGAGGGCGTTACTTGTTTAGATTCCAAGTGTGTTTGTCACACGGGTCATGTTGCCGCCTGTGCCTCATCTGGTGGGTTTTCCCCAGGCAGAAGGCTCTCTGGATGTATTTGCCGGGGAAGAGGAAGCATGCCCTGTTTTAAAGCTACATGAATACTTTAAACTTGCTTTTCAAATTAGTGTCAAAAGAGTGGCATTGGCAGGACTTGGTGACTCGGAGAGACTTGATATCCTCATGAAAGGAGTGGTTTGCTCTGAAGCCAGAGTGGCTGGGTTCTGGGAACGGAGCAATGCAACTCTGCTGTCCCCACATGCACCATGCCTCTGAGAGGCCGCTAATCAGACAGCTGCTTTCGCTGGGCTCGGGGACGCGAGAATAAAGAACTCGGCAAGGCTGCGAGACTCGCTGCAGCCTTTACTGCCCTTTCGTGGCTTCCTTTGGAGCTTGTTCATCCTGAGGTGTAAGAGTTCTTTCTTAAAATTAGTGTTGTCTTCTCTTCTTGTGTGCGTGTGGGTATGCACACTTATTCTGTGTGTATGCACATGTCACAGCACACAGGCAGATGTCAGAGGACAACTTCCGTGAGTTGGCGCTCAGACTCAGTTTACCCATTGGGTCATCTTGCTGGCCTGGGTAGAAGACTTTAAAGAGCTGTGGGAGCCCTGAAGGTGTGTGGAAGAGCTGTGCCCTGCGGAAGGATCTGGTACACAATTGTGCCCATTCTCCTGTCTCCTCCTGTAGCTGCCTGGCCTTAGATGCTCACCAGAATGCTTTGTTTATGCTTGAAGCCAACGTAGTAAGGCTAGAGCTGGCCATGTGACTTGAGTTTCCCCTGGCAGCCGTCTGCTGGGATGGACGCCAGTGGGCAGGGGCAGTAGATGCAAATGTTACCCGTCGGGTTGTGTTTCTTTGCTCGAGCAGGGTTTTTCTTCATAACTTTGAGCTTGTTAAAGTTAGGAACAATGTTTTCTTTATCTCTGTGTTCCACTTACCCAAGATGGTGCTTGGCACAGACTGATGATAGTAAATGAAACACTGAAAGCCAGGTATGGCAGATGGCTTGTGGAAGTTTCATCATACATGTGTGAAGTTGCTCAAAATACTTCTTAGCGGAGGTTAAGGTTAGTTCGTATGTTACTTCATTCGTGTGTGTGTGTGTGTGTGTGTGTCTGTGCACGGGTGTGCATGGGAAGGCTAGAGGCTGACATTTACTGTCTTTCTCAGTTATTCTCCACTTCATGTTTTTAATATATAATTTATTTTATGCTCACTGGTGTTTTGCCTGCATGTATGTCTGTGTGAGGGCACCAGAAGCCCTGGGACTGGAGTTACAGACAGTTGTGAGCTGCCATGTCGGTGCTGGGAATTGAACCCAGGTCCTCTGGAAGAACAAGCCGGTGCCCCTAACCACGGAGCCATCTCTCCAGCTCCTCCACTTCATTTTTTGAATGATGGTCTCTCACTGCACATGGTGTTTACCAAACCAGCGAGGCTGGTTAGCTGGCATCTTCCTGTCTCCATCAGGTCCTTTATGTTGTGATAGGCTCCTCATCTTGCATCTACCCCTACCATGTTGCTAGACTTGGAGAAGTGCACCACCGTGCCCAGATTTTTATGTGGGTCCTAGGGATCCAAACTTAGTTCCTAACGCTTACACAGCAGGCACACTGCCAGCTGAGCTATCTCCAGCCTCTGCCTCCTCTTTGACACAGATACTGTATCCTAGGATGGACTTCGCTCACTGTGAAGCCCAAGCTGGTCTTGAGCTCAAAGCCATCCTCCTGCCTCAGCCTCCAGAAGTTTAGGCTTACACATGTAGCCACCATGCCTGGTTGGCATTTCATAGCTTTAGTGGGAAATAGATTTTAAAAAGTTCACTCCCATCCTCGTCCCCCAATGCTATGAATAGAATTTGGCAAAGTGCTACGTGGTTGCTCGGCAGTGCCCTTTATGTAACTGCCCTGATGAGGGACCATGTGGATCGTGGATCAAGTCAGGACTTTCAGGACATCATCCAATAAGTAAAAATGCTCTAGGTAGTTTCTGGGCCTCCTGAATAGGTTTGCCACTTTTTTTTTTTTTTTTTGAGTAAAGACTCAGAGGAAATGATTTTGTGGTTTTGTTTTGTGTATCTGTTTATTCGGGGTTTGTTTTTGGGTTTGTTTGTGGTAGGGTCATGTGTAGCCTAGGGCGACCTTAACTTCTGAGCTTCCTACCCCTACCACCTAAGTCCTGGGACCACAGGTGTGCAATATCATGTTGGGTTTTGTTTTGTTTTTGTTCTTTTGTTTTTTGAGACAGGGTTTCTCTGTGTTATAGCCCTAGCTTTCTTTGAACTAGCTCTAGTTGGAACTAGAACAGGCTAGCCTTGAACTTATAGAGATCCTCTGCCTCCCAGGTGCTGGGATTAAAGGCCTGTGCCACCACCATCCAATTGTGGTTTTGACTTCAGCACAATGGCTATGACTTAATCTACTGTTATTTCAGCCAGCAATTGCAGTCACCAGCCTGCGTTTCTGGCAGCAGCTTAGCGGCTCAGGCAGCAACCTGGTGGGAATTCTGTTCCCATAGGTACTGGCTCTGTTGCTGCTGCTAAGGTAGCTTTAACAGAATATTACTCTCTTTATAAATAAGACTCGAGATTCAAAGGCTGGGGTGAAAACCTGCTAGCTCAGAGAGGCTGAGTAGCAGCTAGCAGGCCAGCTTTCTCTCCTTGCTGGCATCATCTGCCAAAGAGAGCATCCTTCGGCTCTGCCAAACAAAAGCAGCGTCACTCCAAATTCCTCCCGGCTACTTCTGGTGCTTCTCTCCAGTCTTCTGGATGCCTGCTGATACTCTGTGATTGCTTTCTGTCAATTAGTTGCTGACGCAGCCTCCTGACCCAAGATTAATTTTATTTAATTAATGCAAGTGCTAACTTGGGGTCCACAGTGAGATAGAATAACCCCCAACAGCATCACCCACGGTTTATGCGGTGATGGGCTTGAACAGATGGTTCCATGCATTCTAGGCAAGTATTCTGCCAACTGTGCCACATCCCCAGCCCATGTGTGCTTTCCAACCATCTTCTGAATCCTACTGTTAGCAGTCTGGGAGGGAGTTTGGAAGGGAGACTGGAATGACTGACTGGTAATTCTAGCGTCCTGTTTGCATACAGTATTCCGGAAAGTTTTATAGAAAGTGATTTCATTTACTGGTCATCCCAGGGGATCGTCACCTTCCTAGCAACTGAGTTTGGCACTAAACATGAACTGTTTTTCCTTGGACATGGAGTATCCTTATCCCCCTCCCCCGTCCTGTCTGAGGGGAGCCTCACTTTTTACCAAGTGGCTTTGTGTTTTATGACCCTTCCCTAATAAATCAACCTTTGTTTTTCTAAACTCTGCTGTGGTCAGGTCTTTTCTTTTCTTTTTTTTTTTTTTTCAGTCTTGTTTCCCTAACGGGTGTTCGGGAGACAGACAGTGGGCACACAGTGTATTGTAACCTGCTCCATTGCTTCTTGCTTTTGTAGGATAAGGAAGCCTGTGTGGGCACCAACAATCAAAGCTACATCTGTGACACAGGACACTGCTGTGGACAGTCTCAGTGCTGCAACTACTACTATGAACTCTGGTGTAAGTCCTTGCCCAGGGGGTTCTTGGCGTCCCAGGGTCCCGGTTACTGCCTCTGCTCCTTGGGAAACCGCGGGCTGGCCAGCCTTTTCTGATTCTCTTGGGGACAGTGTTGGTGAGTAGCATCTGCTTCCGGGTTGCGGAAGTGATTCCTTTCTAGAGGAGGAGGGCTTGGGTACCCTCTGGGCACCGTGGGCTGATGATGGGAACACAGTCTGCCTCTTCAGAGGTCAAGGTTGTCAGACAGGGCTTTTGCCCAACACACTTTGTACCCTGATCGTTTTAGAACTCAAATGAGACAGTGTTGACGGCCAGACAGAGTGGGAGGATGGGAGTCCGCAGGGGAGAGCAGGCTCAGGTGACTGGCACAGCTGAGGTTCCCACAGCTGCTTCTCAAAAGAAACAACCGCGGACTGTTTGCCCAGACGATTCTGAGCCCTCACCCCTGCTCCGTAGAAAACCAGACATTGGATCGGCTTGTTAAACCATGCCCTTACTCCCACTGTCCCCTATGGGCCTTTCCCGCCCTCTCTCCTCACCCACTCCTCCCAGTCAGTGATATGGTAGGAAAACAGCTAGGACCAGTATTTGATCTGGCAAGGAGATTGGACTCCTGGCTGGGAAGTCTCCCTCCCTATGAAGTGCAATGGTCTCCGAAAGCCAGCATGGGTGGGTCCTCAAATAGGACCTCTTCCTTACCCTTCCCTTTCCAGGACTAAGGCCACCCGATCCACAGAAGTCGAGTGTGGGAAAGGACAGAGCGTCGAGATCCCCACCAAGCTCCTGTGTATATAAGCAAGAGGAGGGTACAGAATTGCTGGTTTAGAAGGTGCAGGGCCGAGAAACTGGCTAAACAGTGCCGAGTGCCAAGCAGGTGGACTCGCTGTGTTTAAATGTTTTAAAATGCAGATAACCACAGGGTTCAAATTCTCCCTTCCACCCCTTGTCAAAACAAAAGGCGAAGCCGGGCTGCCAAAAAGCACAGAGCTCCAGCTTGTTTTTCTGGGGCCTGGGCCCAGCCGGCACCGCTCACGGAAAGAAGCGGGGTTGCTCATGGCCCCATCTCAGATTGACAGAACCTCCTGGGCTGCGAGGGAGAGCAAAGCCCGGGCCAAGAGGTGGGCCAGTGGCAAGGGCTAGGAGAAGCAAGTGGCAGGAAGATTGTCTGGGAAGAGAGGCTTCTGTCTCTCTTCTGTCCACAGTCATCTGGGGAAGTGGGGAGGCCCAACAGAGAGAGAGCAGCCTCCCTGTACAAGTGGCAAGGCTTCCCAACTCCGGGTGTGCGGTGGGGGTGGGGGAAGCGCCAGGATGGAGACCACAGAGGCCTGTGCCCAGTGGTGACTTCTTGGGCCGGAGATGCCCAGTGCATATTTTTCTGTCCCTCCTATGAGATTCTTAGGTCTTCCTCCTTATTTGGGGCCTAGCTTTTTCAAGAAGTGCACAGGAGGGGGCTGGAGGGTTGGATCAAGCTATAAAGTTCTCAGCAAAACAACACATGCTCTTTTGTTGTTTGTTTGTTTAAGGTACATTTTTTTCATATATAGTTGGTCTGGAAATGGCTGTGTAGCTCAGGCTGACCAAGAGCTCTAAATTCTGTTATCTCTTCCTCCCAAGTGCTGAAAAAATATATTTCTTGTGTAACCCGTGTTCCCTCTCACTGCCTTTCAGTGTTGCCAGAAATGCAAAAGTAACTGGCATTGAGTTGGTTTCCTTCCTCTTGCCCCCCTTTCTGTGGGAGAGAAAACTGAGCCAGTGATCACTGGCAAGGTCAGACGAGGCACCTCTTCATTTCACAAGAAAGGCCCTGGGGGCAATGCCGTTCCCACCAGCCCTTTTACCTCTGCTAAACTAATTTTGCCTGTGTCCTAAGGACTGACGTACACGCAATGTACAGCCCCACAGCCCACGGGCACATGCTGACCTTGAGTTTTGTCCAGCAAGTTTTCGGGTTGCTGTAACCTGAACCAGGCCCTGGGCCCGTGTGAGGTGGGAAGAGATGTTCCTGTTTGACCAGCACGTTGCCTGGGACCACAGAAACCGGTTTGTGCTTGGATTCACTCTGCTGCCAGCATTCCGCAAACCCGTATCCCAGGGGTCTTAGGCCGCAGTGTGTGGCAGAGGCATATTTAAACACAGGCCCTACGTACGAGCTAGACCTGAGAGTTTGCAATTCTAGCAGGCTCTAAATTGATGCCATAGCATCTTCTAATTCAGAAGTGGGTGGGACATACATAACTCTTACTTTGGGAAGTAATCAAGCCAGGAGGTGATGCCGTGTGGGCTTGCAGCACAGAAGTATGGGGTAAATGCCACGTCTGCTGGCTCCCCCCGTTCAGAAGGAATTTGCTTTGTCCAGACAAGATCTGGGTGGCGTGTGTAGAAAAGGTGGCCTTTGAGTGCTCCTCGAGGGTTGAGAGGATTTAAACACGGTACCGGAGACTGCTCTTAACCAAGGCACACCCACGTCCCGAGCCTGTGGGGCTTGCCTGGGAGAGGTGGGCTATAGGAAACTTGTATAGATAGCATTATAGTAGGGTCGTCTGCACCTGTGAGGTACTCAGGTTGTCTGCTCGCCTTGGGGCTGGAGGCGTTCAGGAATCACTCTGTTGTTAGTAGGCGAGAAGTGGTTACCACTCTCTGTCTCAGATTGTCTAAGGGCTGAGCTGGAAGGAGGAGGGGCACAGATCACAGAGTCCCAGAGAGCTTCTCTGCAGGCTTAATGTCCCTGAAACAGGCGGAGCAAGGAGACTCCAGAAATCCAGGAGTACTCTCAAACAAACAAACAAACAAACAAACAAACCAAACAAACAAAAACCATGAAGCAGGGTTCCGGGTTCTAGTTTGAGGCCCCTGGCCATTCTCCAGACCACATTTCCCAGGGAAAAGTCAGTGTTGGACTTTCTGTCCCTGAGGTGATTTGGAGGAATTTTACTCAAGTTGTTTCCTGGGACGACATGAAAGAGACCGTTAGCAACCCACTTAATGCTAACGGGCTAATACTCACTCACTGTGTTATTTTAGTTAATGTATGAGGAGCTGTCCACATTTGTGAGGCACTATGGGATTGATGTTCCAACACACGCACAAGTACAAGTTAATTTTATTTCTTTTTAGTTTATCTTCAAAGGACAGTTGAGCTGATATCAAGGCCAACTTACGGCACTTAGCTCTAGAGCACATTGGCTATCAAGGAGTTACCCTCCAAGGCCCTGTTGAAGCACAGCTCCCTGGTGACCCAGTGCCCTGGACACGGGCAGGATGGTCAGAGCACAACAGTTCCTATCAGCGGACACAGCACCTTGTTCATAGCAGGGGCTCAGTCAATAGGAGTGGCCTGATTTTTCCACAGAATTTTGCCAAGAACAGGACCTCGAAGCAGACTTTGGACTTGATCCTAACCCATGTTTTTTTATGGAATGGTTTTCAGGGTGGGGTCAAAGAGGATTTCAAGGAAATCCTTGCCATCTGTGATTAGCCTGTAATAGCAACAGTTATAATAAGCCAGAGATGGCTTGGAGTAGTTCATATATGTTCTCCTGGGCCTTAAAATGATCAGAGTTGTTAGAGACCATTGTTCTCCCATTTTACAGGCAAGGGGAATAGACACAAAGCCCCCAGGGTCACAGGTCTTTGAGAACTGGGATTTGAACCTGTGTAGCTGTGGTTACCCCTATAGGACAGTTGACTTACAATTCAGATGACAGTATAGTTCTGGAATCTTCATTTCCCAAATTCAGAGATTTCGAGCAGCGTCAGGGCAGGAGTTCCCAGCGAGAACAGTCAGAGCCAAGGGAGTCTCCCCTGTCCTGTGAGAGAAAGGAGCTAAGTATGTTGTGGCTCCCTGGTGGGGAATTTCCTGTCAGTCGAGGAGTGGCCTTTTCCCAAGTCTGTCATGAACTCTGGGGCACGTCACTCAGCTCCTACGTGGGACTGTGACTGTTCTTACAAACATGGTTTCCATTTGGCTTAGCCCGACACACACTGCACACAGCAAGGCCATGACGCGGGGAGGCAGGGAGGAGTCCTCTGGGCTGGCGCGTGGGGACAGGGTAGAGAGTGTCTTTTGTTTAGTTTTGTACTCTTGTATGAGTTTGATTGATTCAGTTTCTCAAAAATTTCTTCTGCTAGGCGTGGTAGCACACACCTGTAGTCCTAGCACTCGGGAAACAGGAGGATTGCCCTAAGTTTGAGGCTGCATCCTGCCTCAGAAACAAAACCAGTAAAACCCACCTTCTCGTATTTCTGAAACCTAGCTAAATTTTAAAATTAGTCCCTTGGTACTAATTGAATACCCCATCACTGCTTAAAGTCAGTTTCCAGCCATGACCAGCGTGATTCCCAGGACAGTTTAGTCTACGCAGGCCTTGTCAGGATGTCCTGTCTGCTGTTCCCTGTCCCGAGGTTGACAGCTGGTGTGCCGCAGGACCTCTTCTGCCCCTTGTGTTTGCCCTTGTTTCCAGCCACACAGTTCTCCTGTGCTCTTATGTCAGATACTCAGATACGGTTTATCCAGTCTGAGACCAAGGTGACATCGCACACTCTTTCCCGTGTGTCAGGTGGGCAGTGTGGGCCAAGGCCGCCAGTGTGGCTTGTTGGCGAACATGTGCTCCGACGTGCACGAGGTCCTGAATTCTGTCCCCAGGACCATGAACGAAAGAAAGAGGGGGGAGGGGGGGAATGTAGGCATATGGAGTCTGACTGATGTTCACTTCTCCCCTACGTGTCTGTTGGGCTTCCTAATCTTTCTATTTTGTGGTTTTGTTTTGTTTTTTTGAGAAAAAAAAAAAGAAAGCTTTTCCTATGCTACTTCAGTTAAGAGGGCCTCTGCATGGTTTTATATCAAGACTCCGTTTAAGAATCCTCACGAGGTAGACTGCTGATCCCAGACTGTCATGGTGGAAAGAGAGAACCAGTTCTACCCAGTTGACCTCTGACCTTTATCCATGTGCACAGAATAAACAAAAATGTAACACAACCTTTTAAATGATTCCTGATAAATACTTCAATCTTGAGTAGGAAACACTGTAGGCACACTGTGGTGGTCAGGGTAGGCTAGGTTTCCTGGAACACAGGTCCAAAATCCTAGTGACCAAAACTGACAGGCTTCTTTCTCATTCTTACTGTGTGTCCACTGAAGGGGAAATGGGGCTTTGTTCCCACTGGAGTGTGTCTCACAGCCTAGAGCCAGACACAACTGTCTGGGGTGCTGATGGAAAGCCGACGGGAAGTGTCACACAAGAAACATTCTAGTCTCTCAGTGGCATGCCACTCATGATTTCTGCTGTGGGTGGAATTAGTCCCATATTCCCCCCCACACACATAGAGGCTGGGAAGTTCAGCCTTACCTGTGTACCCAAAGGCAGAGAATCAGGAATCTTCGGTGAACATGAAAGGTGGGGTATGGGATTTCTCTTGTTTGCTGAGGTGGCCCACGTTAACTCTGAACTGAGATTGACCTTCACGCTGGAGTGCAGGTTTCAGGCATGTGTCACTATGCCTGGCTGAGATTTTCTTTACTTAACAGCTGAATTTAAAGCAAAAGTCACAGAAGCTGAGAATGATGCCTTGGATCACGTATATAGTATAGAAAATGTAGAAGATGAGGAAATACTGGGAAAATGATCCAAGTAAAAATAACATTAGTTACTGATTTTAAAGTTGAGCTGTGGGGTGGGGGTAGGAATAGGGACCAGAGGGCTTGGTTGGAGGATGCTCACTTAGCATTCAATCCCAGGGGAAAGAAAATGGTGACCTAGAGCAGCGGTTCTCAGCCTGTTGGTCTTGACCATTGGAAAACACTTTCCCTCTGGTCTCAGGAACCGAGAACACTGCTCAGTAGCAAAAGCACAGTTATGAAGCAGCAACAAAAATAATTGGTGGTCCCCACAACATGAGAAACTGTACTGAAGGGTTGCAGCATTAGGAAGGTTGAGAAGCACTGGCCTAGAGAGATAGTTCGGTCAGTTGTGTCGAGCACTTTCTGCTCTCGCTGTAACCCCAGCTCCAGTGGGTGCAGTGCCCTCTTCTGGGCCAGAGAGATGGCTCAAGGGGTAAAGACGCGCTGGCCTCCAAGGCCGACAGCCTAGGACTGACACCCCATAGTTGTTCTCCACAAGCTACACACACACACACACACACACACACACACGCACGCATGTTTGTACTTTTCTGAAAAGAAAAACAATATACTGTATTGTGTGTCTTCTCTGAATGGTGTCAGATACGCTGTGTAGAGAGTACGCTCTGGACACTTGTGATTTCAGGTATTGATGCCAGCTTGGCCTATATAGTGAGGCCCTGTCTTAAACAAATAAGCCCCCAAATAAGCCCCCTTCCCCGGGGGCTGGAGAGATGGCTCAGCAGTTAAGAGCACTGACTCTTCCAGAGTTCCTGAGTTCAATTCCCAGGAATCACATGGTGACTCACAGCCATCTGTAATGAGACCTGGTGCCCTCTTCTGGGTGCAGGTACGCATGCAGGCAGAATATATGTAATAAATAAATAAATAATCTTTTAAAAAGCCCCCAAATATGGCTTATTAAATACAGTTAAACTCTATGGCAACTTAAAAAGATAACGGCAACTTGCCATATTAAGCTGTTAGCACACTTCATATTTTAAGTTAATTACATTTATTGCCATTCTATGGCTTCATGGACCTTACTAAAATTAGAATAATGAGAACAAAAAAGTCATATAGAAAGCATTGGGATCAGCCAGGAGTGGTGGCACACACCTGTCTGTATTCTAGCCCTTGGGAGGTAGCGATGGGAAGATCAGGACTTCAAGGCCAGCCTCAGCTGTATAGTAAGTTTAAGGCCAGCCTATACCATGTGAGACCCTGTCTCTAAAGGGGAGGTTACTTTATGGTGTTAATAAACGCTCATAAAGTACCCCCTGATCTCTACACTGGAAGTTACTCCCAGACCTTGCACGCACATAAATTATCCTCTGACCTCTGCACACACCTAGGTCACCCTCTGACCTTTACACACATATACACGGCATCTACACTGATACATTATACATACATAGGGTAATTTAAAAGGTGTTTCACAATCTCATGCATGCACATACGCGTTTTTTGTCAAATCCACCCTACACAATACTTTTTAGAAATAAATGTATCATTTGCAAAAAACAAAGCCAGCTGGAAGGTGGTGGCCCAGGCCTTTAACCCCAGCACTCAGGAGGCAGAGGCAGGAGGATCTCTCTCTTGAGTTTGAGGCTAGCCTGGTCTACAGGGTGAATTCCAAGACAACCAGGGCTACTCAGAGAAACCCTCAAAAACAAACAAACAGACAAAGAAAAGAGAAAGAAAAAAAAAAAAAGCTTAAATTTCTCATAATGCTCTCTCGCTATTTGGGGCTGGAGAGATAGAGGGCTTAGTGGATAAGGGCACTTGCTGCCCTTGTGGAGGACATGGGTTCAGGTCCCACCATCTGCCCGGATTCTCACAACGTCTGTAACTCCATTTCCAGGAGAGCCAACTCCCTCCTGACCACCAAGGGCACCAGGCAAGCAAGCACTCACACATATACATTTTTATCTATTTATCGTATATCTAGTTATTTATTCATTTATTTAATTTTGATTTTTCTAAGACAAGGTTTCTCTATATAACAGTCCTGGCGTCCTGGAACTTGCTCTGTAGACTAGTCTGGCCTCAAATTCGCAGAGATCCACCTGCCTCTGCCTCCTAAGTGCTGGGATTAAAGGCGTGCGCCACCACCCAGCTATATACATTTTTAAGAGGTCGTTATTCTTGTGTTTTTCCTTCTAATCTTTCTTCCATATATGTCTGTATATATTTAAGCAAAAGTGTACCATTAATTTTTAAAAAAGTGTTGAAAAGACTTTCTGTTCAGAATTGCGGTGTTCTCGTACTGGGGTCTCCTGAGGCAGTGGGAAATGAGAGGGCTATGGTCGTCTACTCCACACGGCCTGGAGTGGAGGAAGAAAGGGAGGTGGCCAGTGTCCTCTTCCCTCACAGGTTTAAGGGGTGGTGGCGGGAGGGGGAGTAGTGTGTTGTTGAGGCAGCGGGAGATGGAATTGTACCCAATTATAGATAACACAGAAAGCCATTTACACTCTCCGGGGAAGAGAGGGCCTGAGGCAATTAAAACTTTTCCATTTCTGTTTAGTGATCATGGTTTACACAGGCACATGGGAAAAGCCTCAGCTGTCTCTCATCAGGTGAACCCTAAGATTTCAGGGTTTCTCTGAAAAAAGCTCTGACTGCCCTGGAACTCTCTTTGTAGACCAGGCTGGCCTTGAACTCACAGAGATCTACCTGCCTCTGCCTCCCAAGTGCTGGGATTAAAAGCGTGGGAATCTACTGCCTGACTGTAGAATTCTTATGTGATGGGCTGCTCTGAAATCCCCCGCAATTGCAGGTCTTCTGGGTTGGGACAGAGAAGGGAACTAGGCACCAGAAAGTCTCAAGTATTTTGTCTAGGATCTCTTATTAGTGTCTACCTCATTTAAAACACAGACCTTGTCAGTGTGCTGAAGTGATTGATGGCTTGACCCTCCTCTCCTTCCCATTCCCTTCCTTTTGTCCTGAGCATATTTGCCTGTAGCAAAAAGATTTTTAAGGAGGCTAGAGATGGCTAAGAGGTTAAGAGCACTGACCTCTTCTTCCAGAGGTCCTGAGTTCAATTCCCAGCAACCACATGTTGGCTCACAACCGTCTGTAATGAGATCTGGTGCCCTCTTCTGGCCTGGAGGGACACATGCAGACAGAACACTGTATACATACTCAATAAATAAATTTTTTTTTTAAATTGTTTTTTGAATGTGTGGCTTGACATAAAATGACAGGGTGAGGCCTGCTGTCTGTGCCCAGCTGTGAGGTACCGTCTAGACCTCGATTGCGAGCTGCCCCATCTCGCCGGTCCTCACTGTGTGTGTGCCTCTCTGTCTTGCCTCCCCAACTCCCAGGGTTCTGGCTAGTGTGGACCGTCGTCATCATCCTGAGCTGCTGCTGCGTCTGTCACCACCGCCGAGCCAAGCACCGCCTTCAGGCCCAGCAGCGGCAACATGAAATCAACCTGATCGCCTACCGGGAAGCCCACAATTACTCAGCGCTGCCATTTTACTTCAGTACGTTCAGCCCAGGTCACCATACCCCGTCCTCGGGGGCTTAGTCGCACAGAGCCTGCACCTGAATGGTCCATCGTGGTTAGGACGCCTGGCCAAGGTTGCCCTCTGTTGCCACACTCAGGAGCTCTCAAGTAGAGAATCACACAGTGAATCAGGCTATGGTAGTGGTCCCCAAGTCCTCAGGGCCATTCCCAGGCTCACAGCAGATAGATCTCTGACCCTTTAACAGACCACATATACATGTATATTATACACACACACACATATATACACACACACATAAACTAATACAGGGTCTCATGTAACCCACACTGGCCTCAAATTCATTATATGGAACCCAAGAATGGCCTTGAAGTAGATTTTTTTTTTTTTAAAGATTTGTTTATTGCAGTGGTGGTACACGCCTTTAATCTGCACCCAGGAGGCAGAGGCAGGAGGATCTCTGTGAGTTTGAGGCCAGCCTGGTCTACAGAGTAAGTTCCAGGACAGGCTTCAAAGCTACAGAGAAACCCTGTCTCGAAAAACCAAAAAAAAAAAAAAAAATTATTATGTATGCAGGGTTCTGGCATGTAGGGCACCAGATCTCATTACAGATGGTTGTGAGCTACCATGTGGGAGCTGGGAATTGAACTCAGAACCTCTAGAAGAGCAGGTAGTGCTCTTGACATCTGAGCCATCTCTCCAACCCTCTGGATTTTTTTTAAAGGCACATAGTCAATGGAAGTCTGTATAATTTTAGTGGCTTGAGATCTGGCACTCATCCGCCTGAACCCTCCTGTTTGACTTGCTGCCCTGTGGATTCCTTATAGAGTCTCATTGGAAGAGACAGACAGAAACTTGGTGACGTAACTGAAATCCTGATTCTGGAATTCCTCATACCGTGCTCTCATGTGATCCACAGGGGCCCCAACCAGGCATCTTGTCTAAAGCCATCGGGCACATTATACAGAATAATAGTGTCGTAAATGTTCGGGCTTCATAGCTGGAGGGGTAGCTGCTTAGCCTGGTGCCTTGGGTGTGTACAGTAAGTGCTCAGAAGATGCTAGCAGCTGCCGTTGCAGTTTTGAGTAAGATAGATAGTCTGAGCCTCATGGCACTCGGCGTGTTCAGGAGGAACTCACCTGGCATGTATGTGATGTGCCTTGGTGACAGGGGCCCCTCACTCACCCACCGCTCCCGAGCCGAGTCAAGGTGCCGCCTGTCTGTCCTTCCAGAGCATCTTCAACTGCCCTGTAGTGACAGAGGCAGTCTGAATTTCTGACCTTCAGGAAAAAGCCCCGCACATGAGATATCTGTGGGGGGAGGAGAAAAAGAGCGTGTGGTCCATAATGCTTATGTTAGGGCCCTTGACTGAGGCCTAAGGACAGATGGAGGACACAGTCTGAGCAAGAAATATGGGGCCAGCACTGGAGAGAGCGTGTACAGAGCCTGCCTATGACCCAAGTTCAGGTCTCCCCACCATAGATCAGAGTAACTCAGGATCAGGCCAACAAGCGCCCTCTTCTGGCAGCTTTAGGTACTGCACCTAAGTGTATAGCCTCAACGCTCTCCTTCCTTTCTCTTGCCCGCTATTCCCCTTCCCCAACACAAAACAAAAAATGGAAGCTTTTTCAAAGGAAGTGTGGGGCTTGTGTGTCCTGGGAAACAGGTTCATTCTAGGAAGAAGCCAGTTCACCACACCTGCCTCCCCTTGTCCCTTAACCCCAGGAAGGCAGGAGGTCCTTGCTCGGGTAGCAGCATCAGGGGGTTCTCAGATGACAAGAAGGACCGTCGGGTCACACCCACACTGTTCTTCCTGTAGGCCGGTGGTCCTCAGCCTGTGGGTTGCAACCCCTTTCACAGGGATCACATCAGATAGCCTGTGTATCAGATATTCACATTACGATTTATAATGGTAGCAAGTTTACAGTTGTGAAATAGCAGCAAATAGAATTCGTGGTTGGGTCCCCACAATGTGAGGACCCGCTAAAGGGTCGCAGCATTGGAAAGGTCAAGAAGCACTGTTGTAGGCAGTTGCTAGTCCCCTCCCCTTACCCATGGCCGCCACTGATGGCTCTGCTTCCGAGGTGGGAGGGGACAATAGCAGGTTCAGTGTGCGCTTTGTTAGGATGCTAGCCACTGCTAATCTCTCCTCTGTACCTCCTTGTTCTAGGGTTTTTGCCAAACTATTTACTACCTCCTTATGAGGAAGTGGTGAACAGACCTCCGACTCCTCCCCCACCGTACAGTGCCTTCCAGCAGCAGCTGCTGCCCCCTCAGGGTGGCCCTGTAGGCGGCAGCCCCCCAGGCGCTGACCCACCCCAGGGCTCCCAGGGGGCACAGAGCAGTCCTCTGTCTGGACCCAGCAGAAGCAGCACAAGACCCCCGAGTGTCGCTGACCCTCAGCCCTCTGAAGTGCCCGCTGACCGGGAAGCCACCAAAGACCCTGGAATGGAGTCCAGTGGTTCAGTGGCCGGCCACGGGGAGCTGGACCCAGGGGCCTTCCTGGACAGGGATTCAGAGTGTAAGGAGGAGCTACTGAAAGATTCAAGTTTGGAGCATGGTAGTGTACCCCCCGACAACAAAGACAAGACCCCTGGCCGACATCGCCGCTTCACGGGTGACTCAGGCATTGAGGTGTGTGTGTGCAACCAGGGCCACCATGACGATGGTCTCAAAGAGTTCAATACTCTCATCGACGATGGCCTGGACGGGCCCCTGGACTTCTGTGACAGTTGTCACGTACGACCTCCCGTTGACGAAGAGGAAGGGCTCTGCCTGGCCTCTGAGGAGCAGGCTCGAGAGCCTGGGCACCCCCACCTGCCACGGCCGCCGGCATGCCTACTGCTCAACACCATCAATGAACAGGACTCGCCAAACTCGCAGCGCGGCGGCTCTCCCAGCTAGAGCAGGCCCTGCCTGCACCGGAGAGCTTGACAGACAACCAGGGCAGGGGACACCCACAAGAGAAGCATTAAGTGACTTTGAGAAGTGGTACGTCCACTTTGTCCTTTCATTTTTTTCTCCCCTCCCGTCCCACTTTTCCCACATCTCCAGGTACAAGTTTAGGGTGTGGATGCCTCCTCTCCCCCCACAAAAGCACAGTGTTGTAGAAGACTGAGAATCCGGTTCTGGGACTCATTCCGCACCCGCCTTTTCAGAGCTGTATCTCACCTGCTCGGCTGAGAAACGTCTGTCTGGAAAGCCCCCCAGGACTGCGGCTGGGCTCCAAGATGGTTCTCGGTGACATAGTGGTTTGGAAGAGACCTTCGCTGTGTCTCAGTCTGGGAGAGACAGTTTATCTTGGCCCCGAGTGAAGGAAACTTGGGCCTGTGGCTGTCACCTGTGGCTGCCAGTGTCTGCAGAGCTGGCATTGGTCTTACCCTGTGGGCGGGTTGGTGGGGGGCTTCTATCTGGCAAGCCCCAGGTAGAGAGTGCACCCCTGCATTGTAGAGGGGGCCCTTCCCAGCAGGCTTCGGCTGGCTTCAGCCTGGTTCAGGTATAGACGCTTATCCTGTGTTCTCTGTGTTTTCCTTTAAAACAAATAACCAAGGCTAGCTGGAAACAACTGCATGGGTGGACAGGCAAGAATCCTCTTCTGTGCCAGGGAATTCTGCAGCTTTCCCCAGGTTGAGTTTCCAAGAGTCTGGCTATAATGTTGGGCCAGCAGGAGAGAATGCGGTAGTCCTGACCCTTTTGTGAGTGGAGATCTAAGTCTGACGCCTGGTAGAGATATGGCATTCTCCACTTCCGCCTATTGTCCATGCCCAAAGGTGCCCAGTGGTCCCCGTCCATCCTTAATGCAATCTGCGGTCTCTCCCTGTCCTCTGTAAGCAGATGGACTGAGGAGATTGTGTGTCCTGGGCAAGGCAGTCTCGTAGTCTTGCCCTCACACGGTATTTTCTCTTGGGTTATCCGAGTCTGTTGTTGGTGTTTGTTTGTTTTAAACTGACCACTTAGAAGGAACACTGTTGTTATCTGTGCTTCTTATGGCTGCCCCCGCCCCGAACCTACTGGAGAGGGGTGCCTTACCTGCACAGCCTGTGTAAAGAGTCTCTCAGGCAGGGGGTGACAGTCACCTCCAGCAGGACCTCCGGGCCTGGCTGCCGTCACCTGGCTTTGGTAGGAAAAAGGAGCCTAGAAGCAGCTGAAACGAACATTCCCCGCCCAGCCCTGTCCATGCAAGGAGGGTGGTTCCTTCCCTGCTCTTGAACGATGATATGTAGACTCCGCACCGTCCTTAGTGATGAGAGGAGAAAGGTCCACGTGTAAACACACACACACAGGTCCGAGGCTGTGAGGTGATGTGTGTCCGCATTTGGATGCCACAAACCAAAATCCTTGTCGAACAAAAGTGAAGTCTACACAGTGATGTTGGATGGCGTGTGTCTGTGCGTGTGTGTGTGCATGTGTGTGCATGTGCGTGAGTGTGCGAGTTGTATGTGGCCCCGAGCCCTGTGTTCCTGTGAAGATACTTTGAATGACCATTCTGCTCACGTTAGCCACATGTCTGGAGCTCATCTGGCCCTCTCAAGGTAATTTATTTTACGCGTTTACTGTTTACCGAACAAACGTCTGACTGTACTCCGGTGCCGCCGGCAGCGCCTCTGATTGCCAGCGACACTGCCCTCCAGGGCGAGGCTTCTTCCTCAGCTCACCACTGCGACTGGCACAGTGCTCCAGGGACACTCAGAGGCCGACATTCTGTTCCCTGTGTGTGGAAATGTATTCTGAACGGGTCTCCCTCCCTCCGCTGCGGTCAGACAGCTTGATTGAGTCTTGAGTGACAAGCTTGGACCGGTTGTGGCTCAGACATCGGCCTGCCCAGGATCACCAGGAGTCCTTGGCAGACACCTCGATGCCACAAGCTTGCACCTCCTCTGCCGAGGTCTCGAGGGGTTGGTGTGTGGCCACAGGGCCCCGAGCTACAGCCCTCACACACCTTGTTAAAGTCCCAGACAACTCAGAACTTACTCTCCCCAAAATGAATCCTTCAGTTAACTAGCGATGAGGTGGAGCCCTCTCCAGTTTCTTTTCCCTGGCAGGATGGGGAGCTGACCCGAGTGAGGACTGGCTTCACTGTAGCGCCCACCAAGATGGCAGCACCACAGTCTGGGCCCCTGCTGCCTTAGGCCACACTGGCGCTCAGAGCGAGCACAGGAAATAGGAGTTAGGGGCAGGGAGATTTGGCTGAGTTGGGTTTCCAGGTCAGTGGGAGGAGAGGGTAGGCAGAGGGCTTGGTGCTACGGTCAGCTTTGCAGCCGCTAACACATTCCTGTGCGAGGCACATCGGCGTCCGTCAGTTATTGTGAATATGTGTATCTTAAGCAATAAGAGTCCGCTGCTCTTGGTCCCTGGGCAGTCTGGGTGACACATATCCTGTGCTGTGATCGTTCTGAAGACAGAGTGGCTCTAACCACTGTGAGAAGCCCTAATAAAATTAGTCCTAAACGTCCTGCCACTGTGTTCCTTGCCACACTTCATTTCTGTCTCTTCCTCCTCAGACTCCAGGTCACTCTCCTGCCTTTTGCCTGCTTTATACCAAGACCAACCATAGCAGTCAAGGGCAGGGTCCTGGGCCAGCAGTAGGCAGGGGTTGCTGCTGAGTCCGTTCTTGTCCTGAGGAATTTCTGTTGCTAATATCAGAAATACTCTGTGACATTCCATAAATATATTAACATCCAATCCCAAAGGCAGAGACAAGCGTTGGCAGACTCCCCAAAGCTGGATTGGTTTGGAGCTTTTTATTTTTTTAGATTATTTTATGCATGTGGGTGTTTTGCTATGTATGACTGCACCAGATGCGTGCAGGATTCATGCAGGCCACAAGAGGGCACCATCCTCTGGAACTAGAGTTACAGATGGTTAGGGTTAGGGTACTGGGAATCAAACCTAGGTCCTCTAAACCACTGAGCCGTCTCTCCAGCTCTGACTTTAGGTTTTGTTTTTGTTTGGGATAGGATCTCACTCTAGCCCAGATTTTCCAGGAACTTCATACACAGCCTTGGCTCCTCCCCGTTTCAGCCTCTTGGGGCTGGAATTACAGGCATGAGCCACTGCACTCGGCCTTGGAATATGATACATGTGCTGAGTTGCCTGTTTTGTGCCCAGCAAGTGCTGGATGGAATCTCAGGAAGTGTGACAGAAGCAAGAGCCACGCACCCCGTTCTCCAGTGTTTAGAGGTTAAGGTGGCAAAATACACCTGCGTAGAACAATTGGCATGCAAGTGAGGTATTAGGTATTGGTTCAGAGGCTCCGGGACTCGTGGGCCGTCTCCTGAGGCCCTAAATGCTGAGCTGGAGGTTCTCAGTGCATTTGTAGGTGTGGATCTGCCACTGTAGGCCAGTGGTTCCTTTGTTCATCTCACCCTCTGTTGTAACACATCCTTTAGAGCCCAGAGTCAGGCATTAGTCCCTGGACCAAGACTAGTTGCTGCCTCTGCTGGGGAAGGATACCTGATACCTTCACCCAACACGATTTCTCTCTCTCTCTCTCTTTTTTTTTATTTTTTGGTTTTTCAAGACAGGGTTTCTCTGTAGCTTTGGTGCCTGTACTGGAAATAGCTCTTGTAGACCAGGCTGGCCTCGAACTCACAGAGATCCGCCTGCCTCTGCCTCCCGAGTGCTGGGATTAAAGGCGTGCGCCACCACCGCCCGGCTCCAACACAATTTCTCTTTAGGCAACTTGCGAATGCTGAAGCATGGTGATGCTTAGCCTTGCCCACCTCCCAAAAGGGGCTCCTGCTCCCTAGGTCTGCTCACCGTGGTTGAGTCCCCTGGGTAGCGGCTGCATGGCAGTCAGCCCCAATATATTTGAGAGTTTGAATTAGCCAGACATGGTCTTTGCCCCTGACATTGGCCCTGGGCCAAAGGACCATATCCTAGCTTCTCAATAACTCAGTGGAGATAGTTGCTGTCCCTCTGCTTCTAAGCTGCCAGGCTCCAGGCAGTACCCATATTAGTGTGGGAGGCCAGTTCCTCGGAAGCCTGGGAAGCTGAGCGTGGTGGTGCATGCTTGCTGCACAACACAGGGAGAGGCAGCTGGGGACGCACAGTGAGTTTCAGGCCACCTTAAGCTAGCAAGAACCTGTTTTCTAAAGCAAAACAACCAAAACCCACAAGGAAGAACTGGAGGTGTTCTCCATTCCCGCCTGCTTAGAGATAATGGCTGAGTGGCCCCAAGAGAAAATGGTCTGACTCTTCTGGGCCAGGGCCAGGGGTTGTTCATCTACACTTGATTTCTAGGCTCCTGGAACACTGGGTCAAGGAAGTTCATTTTCCTAATGTGGTATGAAGATTGTCTCTTCCCTCGAGTGACCAAGTTCAGGGTTCAGCTAGAGACTGTATTTGCTCAGAAGCCCAAGACAAGGCAACCTCAGTTTTCAGTTTTCTGATTTTTTGTTTGTTTTCAGTTTCCTGCTGTTTTTTTTTTTTTTTTTTTTTTTTTTTTTTTTTTTTTTTTTTTTTTTTTTGAGACAGGGTTTCTCTGTGTAGCTTTGGAGCTTATCCTGGTACTTTGTAGACCAGGCTGAACTTGAACTCCTAGATTAACTTGCTTCTGCCTCCCAAGTGCTGGGATTAAAGGTGTGCACCAACCAGTTTCCTGGTTTTAAGTATTGAGAAATTTGACTCTCGGAGGGAGGGAGGGAGGGAGGGAGGGAGGGAGGGAGGGAGGGAGACAGAGACAGAGAGAAGGAAGGAGGGAGGCTTGGCTGAGTGCTAGCTGTTTCTTGCTGAACCTGAAGAAGGGCTATGGTTGGGAGGTGTTTGGGTTTCAGGTTCCAGCCTGGGTGCAAGTGAGCCTTAACCAAATGTGGTGGAGCGATCTGTAATCCCAGCATTTGGGAGGTGAACGTTCAGAGGTGAAGGGGAAAAAATCATAAAACAGAAGGACATGGCTGCTCCTAGGTATGGTGGAGGAAAAGGTTTATTGTGGACAAAAGAGAGAGCATGGTTGGAGGCAGGGACATCTGGGAGAGTCCAGAGTGAAGAGGGCCAGACCAAGTCCGGCCATCTGAGGAGAGCGAAGAGCCTGGAAACGGGCACCAAGAAGCTAAGAGGGTAAAAGAACTGGTGTAGCCAAAATGGCGGGATTATATAGGAAGAAGTAAATGGGCACCTGGGCCGTTTGTCCCTGGTTTGAGACCTGACAAATTCAAGGTCACCCTTGACTATACAGTGGTCTTAAGGCCATCCTCTGCTCTAAATGAGACTGCCTCAAGGTCCATGCACGTACATGTATAGACATATGTAGGACTGGAGAGTCTTTAGTGGCACCTGCCATGGGCTAGGCTTCGGGAAACCAGAGATGCCCGAGAACTGTATTGTCTTCAGAGTGGAGTCCTGGAGAGGGACGAGGCACACAGTACCATTAGTACAAACTGGGAGATGAGGGCAGGCCTCCTGGTAAAAGTGACTCCATGGTTGCCAGGGGCAGAAAGGTGCTCAGGGAATCTTAGGCACCTATAGGATCCTATAGGTTACTGGGTGCTAAAAGATTGAGTGCTCCCTACTGCGTGCCAGGTGCTAAAAAGCACAAAGGCTCAAGAGGTCCACCTGGGAGCCACGTGGAGCGCGGTGTGGAAAAGCCGCAAGCAGCGTAGTCCTGGGTCTCTGCATCTGGGAAGTGGCCAAAGATGAAGCCCAAGGTAAACAGGTAATAAAATGTCCAGGTCATACCTGCCTTTGTCCTGTTATTACTCGGTGGCTGTGGACCCGCGCCGAGCCTTGTTCAACCATTGGCTGTGGACCTGAGATGAACGAGCCTTGTTCAATCATTGGCTGTGAACCTGAGCCTTGTTCAATCATTGGCTGTGGGCCTGAGGTGAGCCTTGCTCAAGCATCTTCACAGTTTCTTAACCCTGCTACAGCTCCTCAGGTTGTAATTATCCCTGCTCTGTCAGTGGTAAGGAGGGGAAGACATTCAGAGATCCAGGATCTCATTGCTGATGAATAGCAGAGCCAGGATTTGAAGCCAGAACTGTTGATCCCAAAGGTCAGACAGCGAAGAGCTGCAGTGTGCCCAGAAGCCACGTGAGGTGACTTCGCAAATATGAGGAAATCCAGGAAGGGCCTGTTGAGTGTAAAACTCCCTGAAAGGCGAGGCAGGAAACATTTCCTCAGCCACCCTCCCAGGCCTCACACCTTCCAACTTACCCCCAGGGAGAAGCAGGGCTTCTGTAGGTCTAGGTGGAAGTTAACTTCCTCTTTGGCTGGCTGGGTGTGGTGGTGCGCTTGTGGTCGGAGCACTGGGAAAGCAGAGGCAAGTGGCTTCAATGAGATGGAGGCCGGCTGAAGCTCTCCAATGAAGCCCTGTCTCAGAAAACAATACAACAACAACAATAGCTCCCATAACAGTCAACTCACACAAGGATGGCATGACCCTTGGAAATGGTCAGAATCTCAGGAGTTAAAACTGCGCGTGTGCGTGCGTGCGTGCATGTACGCACACAGTGCTTCCTCCAGAGAAGGTAATAAAATTGCCAGTATTGGGGGGGATTTTTGGTTGGTTGGAAATAATCTACTCACCATAACCCTGATACTGCCACTAGGAAAAGTTACAAAACACCCGTGCGGGAGCCAGAGGCGTCTGTCTGGCCTCTTATTCCCAACTCATTTCTTGGCTATCGTCACTGCCTGGCTCTTAAAAGCGGGTGGGTTCTGGAAGTCTCATTGACAAACCTCCCAACCCAGCCTACTTCTGAGACATTTGTGTAAAGCCCTCAGGCAAAGACAATTTTTTAAATGAAATCTTAATATGGCCAATGTTTATTGAGGAACTAAACATGCTATATAAGTCCGTACTCACCTCAGAGCAGTGCTGAGGAGACTTTACACAACACCGCAGCCCACATCCACACGCCCACATATTATAGATGGGAAACCTGGGGTATAAGAAAGCCAAATAAGTGTCTATGGTCTCTAAATAGCAGCACTGAATTTGTCTCCATAGACTGGCCTTGTCACTTAGAAGGGACTTTCCTGCCCACACAGCTCTTATCCTCACCCAAGCCTCAGAGTGGGCAGCTTTTGTGGAGTGAGCCCTTCCATATGACAACATGGCAGTTCAGGAAGTCAGCAGAAGGAAAGGATGTAGGACTAGGACTGAGGGGCCAGGGACCATTGTCTGAGTATTCTCTCTCCCTTTCCCAGTGTCCCCCACTCTGGTCCCCTGCCATCCACAGTTGTATGACTGCAGAGAGTAGCCGTCACTTTGGGTTTCATGGCCACCAGAGGCCTCAGGAAACACTAACTTACACATTCTCTCTGGGGAACACCTACCCCCCCCCCCCCGCCCCAACAGAGGGCCCTGTGGGAAGTGTTTTTCTCAAGGATAGGAACTGTGGGGGAGGGTAACGGGGTGTAGCTATTTTAGCTTACAAGAGTTAATTATTATTAAATGTTCAAAGATTTTAAGAACTGCTTATTAAACAGGCAATAAAAGTCTAAGC